AAAATAACTCGCATGTTGAAATAAAGATTGTAAAATTCTAAATATATTCATGATTAAATAATGGAAAGAATCAATCTTTTGACATAGGAAAGGTTCGATATAGTGAAAATTTTTTGAATTACATAATTATTAAACTATCTATATTAAACTCAGAATATAATGTAATAAAATTTTAAACTTTATATTAGTTCAGTATAAAAAGTTATGATTCTCAGAAAAACATAATTTTAGATAGCAAACTTTTTCTTACGTTTGGAACCAGTAGTTCATTATAAAGAGTTGACTTTTTATAATATTATCTCGATATAACTATAATGCTTTTTTTCTCAGTCCAATGACTTCACTATAATGAGAAATTTGTGATCAATTATTTGTTATATTTTTTTTTACTTGTATTTATTAACATAAAGGCCAACTTTTATTTTGTCAAAATATAAATAGCAAATACAAACGAAGGAAAGAAGAAAAAAAGAAAAAAATCATACAATTTACCTTTCATAGGTTGCTTCAGGAGATTGATGATCATGTAACTGCACCTCGATTGGTAGTTATGCTGGATCAGATGAAGAGATGGGGGGATAACAGCTGACTCGCAAATTTTTTTTAAGGTAGCATGCTAAGTAATCTATATTTACTTTCTAGGTATTATATAGGCTGCTATCAATAGAAATAAGGCAAATTGATATTTTAAAAAAATTTACAGCCTTAACTCATATCTCGAGGAATTTTAAAGCTATCTTAATAAATTTATATTAAAAAAAAAAGCTTAGAACTTAAGCTTTCTTTTAAATATAAATTTATTAAGATAACTTTAAAATATGAGCTGTGAAAGCTAAGGCTTTAAATTTTTTTAAAATGTCAATTTGCCTTATTTTCTATTGACGGCAACCCATATATAAGATTAATATACGGTAATTATACAGTAAAATAATCTGGTATTATATCAAAATTTATTATATTGTATAATTTCCAACCCTAGGTACAAATTTTGAGGATCACTAAAATTCCATATGCTCACTACTAAACTGAACTTAGAGTATAGCCTATACGGTTTCAAAATTTTTGAGGCTATAAAAATAGTATTTCACA